TGGTCAAGGTCATGTACCTTGGTTGCGGGCGCATCCCCAGTAGGGGGTGTGCAGGAGGCGGCTGATCGATGTTTCTCTCTCATCGATGTTTCTAACTCTCTATCCCTCTCCGTTCTTCTCTGTAAAAATTCAATAAAATATATTTTAAAAAAATAAAGATAAAATTTTTAAAAGGAAGTTTAAATAATCATCAGTTATGAGAATGCAAATCAAAACCACAGTGATATACCAATTTGATACTGAATAAGATGGCTAAAATAAAAAGATAGCTAGTGTTAAGAATGTAGATAAATCAGAACCCTCATACACTGCTGATGGAAACATAAAATGGTAAAAGAACTTTAGAAACAGTCTGTCAGTTTCTCAAAAAGTTAAGCATAGACTTTCCATTTGACTCAGCAGTTCCACTCGTAGGTATATAGTCAAGAGAAATGAAAACATGTCCATACAAATACTCATAGCAGCATTATTCATAACTAGAAGTCTGGTGCATGAATTCATGCACGGGTAGGGGGTCCCTCTGCCTGGCTAGCGATCTGGCTGGCTGTGGGGAGGGACCTCGGGAGGTTGGCCGACTGGCTCAATTGGTGAGGGGGGAGGGGTGGGAAGTGGGAGGTTGGCTGTGGGAATGCACTGACCACCAGGGGGTAGCTCCTGGATTAAGCATCTGCCCCCTGGTGGTCAGTGCACATCCTGGCTACCAGTCGCTTAGGCTTTTATATATATAGATAGCCCAAAGTGGAAATGACTCAAATGTCCATCAGCTAGTGAGTAAACAAAATGTAGTACAGTCATACAATGAATATTATTCAACGACAAAAAGGAAAAAAGCACTGACATATACTACAAACTAGATAAGCCTTGAGAAGTTTATACTAAGTGGGGGGAAAAATCTAGTCACAAAGGACCACATAGCCTATGATTCCATTTGTATAAAGGGTTCAGAGCAGTCAATCTATGGAGACAGCAAATTTGTGGTTGCTTAGGGGTAGGAAGGATGGGAGGCTTGGGGATTACAGCTAAAGGGTGGAGGGTTTCTTTTTGAAGTGATAAAAGTGTTCTGGAATTGATGGTGATGATGGTTACATGGCTCTATGAATTACTGGAACTAGTGAATTATAAACTTTGAGGAATTGTATGGCAAAGTTGTTACCAAAAAATAAAATAATTTAAGAAACAAAGAAGGCAGGACTCTTAGTGTGTTTTGTGTGTGTGTGTGTGTGTGTTTTTTAATGCCCACCCAAGGACATGATGTGTGTGTGTTTAACTGATTTGAGAAAGAGAGGAAGAGGGAAAGGGAGAAACATCAATGGGAGAAATGTCCATCAGAAACATCCATGGGTTGCCTCCTTGGTAAGCGTCCTGACCAGAGATGAATCCACAACCTAGGTATGCACCCTGAATGAGTATTGAACCTCCAACCTTTCTGATGAACCACAACAGCCAACTGAATCACCCAGCCAAGGCTAGTCCGTTTTTATATTTCATGGTATTCCCTGGATTAGGCACACCATGACACTCATATATGGCTAAATGATAGAGGGATGGTGAATAAACTATAGTATATCCATACTATGGAATACTATCAAGAGTTAGAATGATGTAGAACTATATATTCTAATGAAAAGATCTCCAAGATACAATCAGTGGAAAAAGCCAAATGATGACAGTACTGTAAAGTAATATAAAAGTGTAGATTTCCCCGGGTGTATGTGTAAATGCTCAAGAACTTTGAAGTAGAATCTGTAATAGTGATAGTTAGTGGTTACCTGTTTAACCTGTATGGAGAGAGGAGGGAGCCTTCCCAGAGAGTGAAGGAACCTGGTTTGGGAGTGGTAGTCAAAAGAGGGCTTTATCTGTACTTTAAAAATCCACTGTATTAAGCCCTGCCAGCATGGCCCAGTGGTTGACCTATGATACAGGAAGTCACGGTTTGATTCCCGGTCGGGGCATATGCCCAGGTTGCGGGCTCGATCCCCAGTGTGGGGCCTGTAGGAGGCAGTTGGTCAATGATTCTCTCATCATTGATGTTTCTATCTATCTCCCTTCCTCTCTGAAATCAATAAAGATTAAAAAATAAAAGTGGGTATTTTTTAAAAACCTCTATAAAAATTACATGCAATGAAGTTCACCTATTTTAAATATACAATGTGATAAACTTTAACAAATGTATATAGTAGTGTAGCCAACACCATAATCATGATATCAATCATATCTATTGCCCCCAAAAGTTCCTTCAAACTCCTTTATAAGTCATCCTCACAGCCCCTAGCCCACCACTGTTCTGCTAACACTATAGCTTTGCCCTTTCCAAAATTTCATATAAATGAAATCATATGGTATGTACTCTTTTGTGTGTGGCTCCTTTCTCCTAGCATAATGATTTTGAGATTAATCTAAGTTATATCATGCATCAATAGTTTTTTCTTTTATATTGCTGAGTAGTATTCCATTGTGAGGAGATACCAAATTTTTCTATTCATTCACCAGTTGACGAACGTTGGATTGTTTAAAGTTTTGGGCTTTTGTGAATGAAACTTTTTGGACATTTTGGTACAGTGTTTGTGTATCTATTAAATTCATTTTTACAAGATGAACTTATCCATGCACTACATACATAATGTAGAAAGTAATCTTCAAATTTGATGAATGAGTTAATCAGTATTTGACATATATTCTTCCAGATTTTCCTCTCTGAAATACTAACATCCTATATAATAAAAGCCTAATATGCTAAGTGTCAGTCAGCTGTTCAACCAATCAAAGCATAATATGCTAATGATATGCTAAGTCCACTCAATCGCTCGCTATGATGTGCACTGACCACCAGGGGCAGACAGTTGACCAGTAGACCAGTAGCTATGAGATGCACTGACCACCAGGGGATAGGGAGGTTAGCTTGCTGCTGGACTCTGGTCAATCAGGACTGAGCAAGACGGGCCGGACACTCCCTGGAGCCCTCCCACAGTCCCTCCTCACTGGCCAACCTCCTGCATTCCTCCCTGGCCCCAATCATGCACCAGTGGGGTCTCTCGACCTGGCCTGTGCCCTTTTGCAATCTGGGACAACTCCGGGGATGTCAGAGAGCCAGTTTTGGCCTGATCCCGCAGGTCAGGTTGAGGGACCCCACTGGTGCACGAATTCATGCATTGGGCCTCTAGTCTTTATATAAATGTTAATGGGATCTTACAGTGTGAAGTAACTCCTTTTTCGATTTAATAATATACTGTGGACATTTAAAAATATCAATAGATTTAACTCATTCTTTTTTAAAAAATATTTTTTATTGATTTTTTACAGCGAGGAAGGGAGAGGGATAGTTAGAAACATCGATGAGAGAGGAACATCGATCAGCTGCCTCCTGTACATCCCCCACCGGGGATATACCCGCAACCAAGGTACATGCCCTTGACTGGAATCGAACCCGGGACACCATTCGGTCTGAAGGCCGACGCTCCATTCACTGAGCCAAACCGATCAGGGCTTAACTCATTCTTTTTATGGGCTGCATTCCATTATGCCTGTAAGGTAACTTATTTAACTTATCTGTGAAATTGTGAAACACGTATACTCTTTGATTCAAAAATTCCACTTCCAGGAATTTGTCATAATGAAAATTTCCCTCAGGTTTGCTATGTGTTACTTGTAAGTAGTTCATTACAGGATTGTTTGTAATGAAGAAAACTGGAAGCATCAATCTTTTTTAAAAAGAAATATTTAAATCTCCCTTTGTTTCCCTCACTGATCACT